AATTGTGGTTCTTTGCATGGTGGGATAATTCAACCCTTTATTCCAGAAGGGTTTGTTTGAGCCATTAGTAGTTTTGCCTGAATTGAGTTGTAGTTTTCCATTGTCTTTAATCACACAGCAGTACAGAACTAAGAAGCACCCTATAAGATCTGCTGTATTCTGGACATGCTCTTCCTTATCTCCCGATATACTGGCAGCCCAATTTCTCCTTGGTAATCAGGATCGAGCACTCCAGCCAGTACGATAACTTCCCTTTTTGCCTATTAATTCAGGTAGCTGCTATTGGAATCACCACCTGGTTAAGTTTGTACCCTAAGTAGAGGCAGTTCTGATGACTTTCACTTGGCCTTTCCATAATGCCCTCACTCCACAGGTCATGGAACCAATGTAGAGATTCTTCTAGTTGCTGAGTATATCTTTTCCAATTATGCATTCTGGAACTGGGGGAATAACCGTGGATGGGTCCTGTGACTGGGAGATGAATCTGAACTAAAACTCTATTTTTCACCTAACCTCCATAAGCCCCAGCTATGACTGGCAGACCACAGTGATATTTTGGGTCTCTGAAATTTGGGGTCCTATCAGCTCAGAGATAGTGTCCGGTTATGCCCCCTAAATATGATTTTTTTTTCCTTTTCTCAAATTCAGTCACCTTAATAAAAGACGTAAGTCTCTTCAGGGAAGGATATGGGAAAGAGTTACAGTACAAATTTCCAGCAGGATACTGAGGTCCTTCATTAAGGAGACTCAACCTCCTCTTCATCTAAAACAGCAGTTCTCAACCTGTGACAGGAACCATATTAAAGGGTCACGGCATTAGGAAGGTTGAGAACCACTGATCTAAAGGAATCCTAGGTCTGGAACCTGGCTCAAGGCCCGAAATAGTTACCAAGAACACATCTATTTTAATTATTCAAGTTAAACTTGTACACCTGAGTAGAATTTTTTTGCTATACAAGTCAAGTAAAAAGTTAGTGGACTGTCCATCTATTTAAAGCCATAGGTTTTAAGTCAGAATATTCTGATTATTGCTTTGATTCTGCTGTCCATTATGGTAACCACACTCATCTCATTTTGGCAATGACACCTGTAACCCCAGGATTCAATTGTCCCCATTGCATTTAGGATCCCAATTCAGTAGCAGAAGTTCCCATTTTGTTTTTGGCTTACAGACAGGGTAACCATAGAGCTTTTCAAGAATACTGGGCTTCCTTTGCAAATTTAATTCTCTAAGATTTGGTGAAAGATGCATCCTCTGAACCTTCTCAGGTGGATGAGCAAGTCTTGCATAATAAATCAACTCTAACATACCAATTTCCCTAAGACTTTGGATACCTTTTTCTACAGGATGACAAGGCAGTTCTAGCATTTCAGTTTCATTTAGTGTGAGCCATTTGGGGTTCATTTTCAGCCACTCAACCAACCTATTAAAGCCCTTTCTAACACTTTGAGCTGCAACATTAAACCTAGAATCTCTGTTTAGCAGATCCATGTCAGTAAATTCAGCTTTCTCCAACTTTATATTCTTTCTATCATTATCCTACACCCTTAATACCCATCCTCACAAACAGTCTATCTGTGTAAATTGAAATTTTTTCTATCTGTATAAATTGGAAAAATCATGTGACTCTTTTGGTGTATATAACATAATTCCTCATGGGTCACAGTTTGTACCGAAGCCATTAAGAATAGCTGGGACTTAGATCTAGGTATAAGTCTAGGGAAGCAAAGGGAGTGCCTGGGATAATATCTCAGGATAATCAGAGTATCTTTCAAGGCAACAGATTCTTTAGGAAAATCAGGGTTAACCTCCCCAGACAGGGTGAAAGGGCTGCTTACATTAGTAAAGAAAAAACTCAGCAGAATTTAGGGGTTTGAAGACTCCAGTGAACTTCATCACGATGTTCGCTTATGTCCTCATTCTAATTTTCAGGTCCTCATTCTTTCCCAACTTTAACTTTAATAGAAAACATCCTGCAATGTTGGAAATTCAACTTCCATCATAATTCGGCCATCACAGAATGAGACTTTGGATTTGGTTTTCAGAAATCTCAGTCTTATGCATACTGGAGACAAAGGTTTCCTTAAAGGCCGATATTGAAACATTCAGTTGATTTAGGCAGAACTTGAGCTGGGAATTTGAAGCTCTGAGGTCATCCTTTTCTTATTCCATTTTCTCCAGTGCAGTTAGGAACAACCAGTCAACTATATTTTTCTTTTTTTTCTTTATCTTACTTATACATGTGTATATTAGGTTTCCACTTTTGCCTTCACAGAATTAAAAAGGCTAAATTTAATGACAAGAACAATGCTTAACATAAGGCCTGAGAAGAAAAACCTCATAAAGAACAAATGAAGATAAATACATTCAGAAATCAGATGATTGCTGCAACAAAATATTAAGCAATAATAATAGTAATAATGCAAAGAAAGTAACATTCACATTGTCAGATGGGAGTATGTCTATTATAGAATACTTTGATCAGTTAACTTATTATTATTATTTTGTTTTTTCCAAAGTATCAAAAAAATAGACAACTAATATTTATAAATGAAAGTAAAAGATAATTTCAAAAAAACAGATCATGCCAAATCTTATAGACAATAGAAAAAGAAATACTTCAGAATCATTCTACTTAATTTGGATACACCTGATATTAAAATTGGAGAAAATATATTATTATAAAGGGGAAATTACAAATATATTTCACTTAGAAATGAGGATGCAATATGATAAATAACATATTAATATGTTGAATTAAAAATTAATGTTTAAGTAATGTACTTTGGTCAAAATTAAATACAATTTATAGGAGAATTAGTCACTATTTTCTTTCTTTTTCTTTTTTCCTTGCCCACACCCCCTCCTTCCTTCTCTGTCTGGGCTCCCCTTCCCCCATGCCCCACCATGTCATTAATTGTCATTAATTGTCTTCATATCAAAGTTCAATACATAGGATTCTTACTTCTTTATTCCTGTGATGCTTCACTAAGAATAATGTGTTCCACCTCCATCCAGGTTAGTACAAATGTTATAAAATCTCCATTATTTTTGATGGCTGAATAATATTCCATGGTATACATATATCACAGCTTGCCAATCCATTCCTGGGTTGAAGGACATTTAGGCTGTTTCCTCATCTTAGCAATTGTAAATTGGGCTGCAACAAACAGCCTAGTACAAGTATCTTTATAATAAAAGGGTTTTTTTCCTTCTGGATAGATGCCCAGTAATGGGATTGCAGGATCAAATGGGAGGTCTAGGTTGAGTTCTTTAAGGTTTCTCCATACTTCCTTCCAAAACAGTTGTATTAGTTTGCAGTCCCATCAGCAGTGCAAAGGCATTCCACACTCTCCACATCCGCGCCAGCATCTGCACTTTTGAGATTTTGTGATATAGGCCATTCTCACTGGGGTTAGATGATATCTCAGGGTGGTTTTAATTTGCATTTCTGTAATAATTAGGGATGATGAGCATTTTTTCATATGCTTAGTAGCCATTCGTCTTTAGAGAAGATTCTTTTCATCTCTCTAACCAGTCAACTATATTATAGTAGTTAGTTTAACTAGTATGTTAAATATATACTATATTTAGTCATAGTTAAATATATGACTACATCAAATATGTAGTCATCCAGAACCTCGCCTTAGTAAGTATGTGATGAAGGGTATCTGGTGGTGATAGTCTGTATATCTGCTGCCACATCACATCATGGTCTATCAGAGCCCTTCTTACTGAGTGATTTAAATATAATCAGACTAGAGAAGCAATTCCAGAAAACCTAGACTCAATTAATAAAACTCAACCTTAAGAATCCATTCCCCTAGGCTAGAATAACCCTTGGTTGCAAAATACATATCAACCAGGGTCTTGCAGAGAAACAGAACCAACAGCATGGTGCTCTATATTCTCTTTATATCTACTTATCTATCTATCATATTTCAAGGAATTGGCTTACACAGTTGTGGAGGCTAACAAGACCAGTATTTGGAAGGCAGGCCAGTAGGCTGGAAATTCTTGGTCAGAGCTGATGTCACAGTCTTAAGACAGAATGTTTTCTTTTTCTAAGAAACCCTGTGCTTTGCTCTTCAGTTATTTCAAATGACTGGATGAGGCCACCCACATTATGAAGCCGAAGTACTTTATTTAAACCAAACTGATTATAGATGTTAATAACATTTTCAGGATATCTTCACAGCAGCATCCAGATAAGTATTTGATTAAATGACTGAGTACCCAGCCAAACCGGCCCCCCAAAACAACCATCACACATGGATGCTATCTTCTTCACTTCATTCAGAGTATCATTCTTAGAGAAACATTTTATAAGAGGAAACTAATAAAGCAAGTCATTCTAGTTGATTATCTTGAGTGCTTTGCCAAATCAAAGGAGATGCTGCAAAATAATAGGTCTTTTCATTACATTTCATTCATTGCAGAATATAAATTTGTCCAGAAGAATGAGATTTTTAAAAAAACGTTAGAGGGCTTTTTTTCCATTCTACTTCTTTTCACAAGGAGAATGCATGTCCTGAACGTTAGTAGTCAGAGAACGAAAATAATAACCACGTCGAATTTAACAGGTTCACAAAAAGCCTTAAGTGAAACTGCTACTGGGTGAACCCAAGAAAGGTAAAGGCCGCCTCTCCGGATACGTGTATTTTGTCATTTGTGTGTATACCTGTGACCCAGCCAGATTCTCCGCAGAAATTTTGAGTCCTGAAGGCAAGCTCGAATTTGATGGCCTTGGTGAAGTGTTTCCTGCATTCACTGAACTCCTGGGAGGCACGCCACAGATTTCGGGCTAGTGAGACCGAGGGCCAAACCACGTGCTCCCCAACGATGCCTCGGGCCTGAGGGCGCGAGCAGCCGGAGCTCAAACAGACTTCCTCGGAATTTCTCCAGGAAACCGTCGGGTGGGGTGGACATGGAAGCTCCGTCCAGCCCCTACTTTTTATCCCAGCATCCCAAGTGAGAACGTCGCCTGTGCTTCCCAGAAATGAGCCTCAGTCCCTCCAAGGTTGAGCAGGCGGAGCTGGAGAGGCGGAAGGTGGCGGGGGGCCCCGAGTCTGAGGCGAAGTCTGAGTCAAAAGTGCGGGTTGGTGAGAGCGCCGCGTCCATGGCCGCGGTGCCGGATCTGAAACGGGAATCCGTGTTGAGTCGGGCTTTGGAGCAGCTCCCAGCACACCAGCTGCTGCTCGACCCAACAGCGCCGATGTCGCGGGCATCGCAGCTGTCCCAGCCGTCAGAGTCACCCGCGCAGCTGTCGCAGCCGTCAGAGCCACAGGTTCAGTCCTCCCAGCTGGAGCAGCCGTCCCAGCCACCCGCGCAGCCGTCGCAGCTATCGCAGCTGTTGCAGCCAGAGGCGCTGGTGTCGCAGCCCGCAGAAAGGAGCGTCTTACCCCTGCCCAGGCTGGAGGTCCCGCGCCGCAGGGGCCACTGGCCGAGCTCCAGCCGCTGGCACACTGACTGCCTGGAGGCGCCGCTCTCCCGAGCCTTCGGACGGCTGGGCTGGGAAGTGGGCGCGCACCCCTGGCTCTTCCTGCTGTTGCCCATGCTGCTGACGGCCGCGCTCGGCACCGGCTTGTACTACCTGCCGGTGGGAAAAGATGAAGATCTGGAGGAGCAGTACACGCCGATTGGGGGCCCGGCCAAGGCGGAGAGGAGCTTTGTACGGGAACATTTCACCACCAACGACTCGTACAGCTTCTTTCACTCCAGGATAAGCTCCGAGGCCAATTTCGCTTCCCTTCTGGTGGTCTCCGACTCCGACACGCTCCTGGAACAAGACATCTTGGAAGAAGTGACGAGGCTGGACGAACAGGTGCAGTCTCTGAGTGTGCAGGTGAACGGGAGCCGGTGCGGGTACGAGGACGTGTGCGCCAAGTACAAGAACTCGTGCGTGCCCCCCAACCCGCTCCTCTACGCCTGGCAGAACAACAAGGCGCTCAACCTGTCAGCTATCACCTTCCCCAACTACGACCACGAAGGCCACCCCCTCTTCCTGACCGGCTTCTTCGGAGGAAACGAGCTGGGGAAGAGGATAGGGAAGAACCACGTACTCCAGGAGGCCAAAGCCTTGCGGCTGCTGTACTTCCTCAAAACCGAGGTGCTGGAGGACCGGCTGAAGAGCAGGGAATGGCTGACTCATTTCCTGAACCAAATTAACACAATTAAGAAAAATCTGAACTTGAAGAAGACCGAGGTACTTGGCGGGTTAGGGTTTACAGGGAGGCCAAGAGAAGGGGGGGGGGGTAGGAATGCTCACGACGGCCCTCCCCGACTAGGTGGTGGTACTTAATCTGACTTTCTTAAATTAGCACCGAAGGCTGCCACACATCACGGACCCTCGGGAATATTCTAGTCCATAACACAAATCCTGTACCCACCAAGTTGATCTGTTCGGTACCAGATACTGATCTTAACGTTTAATTTTGGGGTTTGGTTTCCTAATCAGATTCTGGCACTTGGAAATTTTTACTTTTACTTAGTCTTCACTAGTTTTGGGGAGCCTCATAAAATTTGTTTGGAGTTCATTGGGATGAAAAAAACAAACTAGCTTAGCATTGTCAAGTGAGCTGTAGATAAAGCATCTAGCTGAGTGTGAGAAACATACTTCCTCTTCAGTAACCTTTGGGTAAGAATATTTACAAATACCAGCCTGGTGGAAGTTAAATGCCACCTGGAAAAGACCAGGCTTCCTTGAAATGATACTTACGCAATTAAACTAGTAAAAGAGATGCCAGGAGCAGTGGCTCATGCCTATAATCCTAGCACTCTGGGAGGCTGAGTCGTGTGGATTGCCTGAGCTAATGAGTTCAAGACCACCCTGAGCAAGAGCGAGACCCTTTCTCTAAAAAACCCGGGCTTTGTGGCAGGCACCTGTAGCCCCAGCTACTGGGGAGGCTAAGGCAAGAGAATCACTTGAGCCCAAGAGTTGGAGGTTGCTGTGAGCTGTGACACCAGGGTACTCCACCAAGGGCAATAAAGTGAGTCTGTCTCAAAAAAAGAAAAAAAAAAGTAAAATTTAGAGAAATTTAGAAATCTAATAAAAATTTAGAGAAAGCTACAATTTCTGCCATTATTAATGAGGACAAGATTTCATAGTTTTTTTAATATAAAATTCAGATTCTGCATATTCAGGAATTATAAACTTTGGATTTTGAGAGAAACTTTGGAAAGTGCACCATAGATTTGTGGGAAGAAGCATGTCTGCATTATCTTCTTTATTCTAAAATCATAATCCATGTATTTTGACCTTTTATTGAATTGTCATGTCTCAATAAGATAGTGTTTCAATAGCATTTGTACTCACACATGAATACTGGAATTATAAATTATTTACCTGAGTATATTTTCGTGGCAGGTGGTCTACTTTACATCACTTTCTAGACAACTGGAATTTCAGGCAACTTCTATGACAGTGATCCCTTTGTTTCACTTGGCATACGTTCTAATCATACTATTTGCAGTCATATCATGCTTCAGGTAAAATGATTTGATTAGTTGTTTAATCTCATACTTTGTAAGAAATATTGTGGTAAAATATATATTATTATGCAACATAAAACATGCCAGTATAGCCATTCTGAAGTATACAATTCAGTGACATTACATTCACATTCTGTACAACTATCACAAGTGGGTTTTTTTGTTTTGTTTTGTTTGAGACAGAGTCTCACTCTGTCACCCCTGGTAGACTGCCCCTGGCATCATAGCTCACAGCAACCTCAAACTCCTGGGCTCAAGCAATCTTCCTGCCTCAGCCTACCTAATAGCTGGGACTACAGGCACCTGCCATAACACCCATCTGTTTTCTTTCTTTCTTTCTTTCTTTTTTTTTTTTTTTTAGTGTCATAGGGTCTTGCTCTTGCTTAGGCTGCTGGTCTTGAACTCCTGAGCTCTAGTGATCCTCCTGCTTTGGCTTCCCAGAGTGCTAGGTTTACAGGCATGAGCCACCAGCCACAACTGTTTCCAAATATTTCCCATCACCCCAAATGGAAACTCTGTCACCACTTCACAATGGCTCCCCATTGCCCTCCCACAAGTCCCAGTTAACCTTTACTCCACTCCATGAATTTGCCTATTCTCCTGATGTCATATACGTAGAGTCATACATTTGTCCTTTTGTGATTAGCTTATTGCACTCAGCATAATGTTTTCAAGGCCTATGGCATATATCAGAACTTCATTCCTTTCTTACAGCTGAATAATACTGAGTCCTCCAACTTTGTTTTCTTTTCAAAACTATTTTGGTCATCCAAGATGCCTCAAAATTCCATATGAATTTAAATGTTGACTTCTCTCTTTCTGGGGGGGGGGGTAAGATTGTTGGAATTTTGACAGAAATTGTGCCAAAGTTGTAGAGAGTTTTGAGTAAGACTGGATGTTTTAGCAATACGTAGTATTGAATCTTCCTACCCATGAACTAAGGATCTTTCCATTTATTTAGGTCTTCTTTAGTTTCTTTTACCAATGTTTGGTAGTTTTCAGTGTGTAAGTCCTTCGCCATCTTGGTTAAATTCATTACTAGGCATTGTACTCTATCAGAGCTATTTAAACGGAATGGCTTTCTTAATTTCCTTTTTAGATAGTTCAGTGCACACCTATAGAAACAGCTGATTTTTGTGTGTTGGCCTCCTTTCCTGTAGCTTTGTGGAATTTGTGTATTAACTCTAGTCATTTCCTTGTGGATTTGGGAGGATTTTAATCTAGAGGTTCACATTATCCACGAAAGGGGATAGTTATGTTTCTTCCTTTCAAATTCAGATGCCTTTTGCTTCTGTTTCTTACTGCTCTGGCTGGCACTTCCAGTACAATGTTGAACATCAATGGTCAACATAGGCATCTTTGTCTTGTTCCTGATGTTAAAGGAAAAGCTTTCAGTATTTCACCTATGAGTATGATGATGATTTTATGATTTTCATAAATGCCCTTATCATTTTGAAGAATTTCCCTTTTTTGCTTAGTTTTTGAATTTTTATCATGAGCATCTATTGAGATGATCATGTGTTTCATTGCTGTCCTTTGTTCTGTTAATGTGGTGTGTTCCATTGATTGATTATCCCCCATTGAACCACAAGATTTTCCCTGTTATTTTTCTGGGATAAATCCCACTCAGCTATGGGATATAATCCTTTAATATGCTACTGAGTTGGATTTGCTAGTATTTGTTAAGGACTTTTCCCTCTATATTCATAAGAAATACTGGTTTGTCATTTCTTGCAGGTAGCGAGGACAGTTGTGTACTATCAGTAGAATAGACTGTTTCTTCCCTTTTTTCAGTTGATAACGTTTACCCACGTGTCAAATACTCATGCTCATTTGTCTCATCTCCAAGTGATAGGGAGATCTTTGGGCTTCAGGTTCTTGAATGCACATGGCTTTGCTGATTTGTCAATCAACAAGGGCTTTAGTTTCTATCCAGTTGAGCTAGGACAAAGAACTCTGAAACATTCTTTGGAAAGTTTTTCACATTCACATTTGTTACCCCATCAGTCATAGCCTTGAAAAAGAGTCTGCACCAGTCAAAGATAAAGATATTGTCATCTTTGAAGCCTCTGGTTAACTCTGGGAACTTTTTTTTTTTTTTTTTGCGGTAGTCTACCTCTGTCACTCTAGGTAGAGTACCGTGGTGTCATCATAGTTCACAGCAACCTCAAACTCCTAGGCTCAAGCGATCCTCTTGCCTTAGCCTCCAGAGCAGCTGGGACTACAGGCACCTGCCATCATGCCAGGCTAGTTTTGCTATTTTTAGTAGAGATGGGGTCTTACTCTTGCTCAGGCTGGTGTCCAACTCCAGAGCTCAAGCAATCCTCCTGCCTCAGCCTCCCAGAGTGCTAGGATTACAGACATAATCCACCACCGCCAGCCAAGTCTGGACCTTTTTAATGAACTCTTTCACAACTTCTACTGGAATTTCATTGGATTCACCACACAAGACTTTGTGGGCAATCTCATGCTGCAGTTAAATTTCTCAAGCCAACCACTTGTTGCTAGGAAATCTGCCATCCAAATTCCTGCATGCATTTCTTAGCAACTTCTTGAATCATCAGCCTGGAGATTCAGGTGTTAACTGCCCTCATTTGTTTGAACCAGCTCATTGTGTCTTCGTTGACATCACTGAGGGAAGTTTTCCTCCTTTCGTGCTATAGGTCTCTGCTTTCTTAACCATATCTCTCCAAGTACTCACGTTTATGTTTTTGGATGTTGCTAACTGTATCTTCTAACACCAAAATGTTCCATCATCTTCCTGTGGCTGTTACTTTCCAGAAGTGAAGATCAACTTTTTCTCAGCATCTTTGAGTTCTTTCCTTTGGGCCATCATGTCTCAATTAACTAGAAAATTTTTCAGTAACTGTAGGATGCACCTACAATTCAGACCAGTCCATCACATTGGAAAAGTCTTTCACATGATAAACAAAAAGACATTAAGCCTGATACAACACATGGTAGTAATAAAACATGATAAAAGGCTTGGTGCCTGTGGCTCAAGTGGCTAGGACACCAGCCACATACACTGGAGCTGGCAGGTTCAAATCCAGCCTGGGCCTGCCAAACAACAATGACAACTACAATCAAAAAACAGCAGGGCATTGAGGCAGGTGCTTGTAGTCCCAGCTACTTGGGAGGCTGAGGCAAGAGAATCGCTTAAGCCCAAGAGTCTAAGGTTATGGTGAGCTATGATGTCACAGCACTCTACCAAGGACAACATAGTGAGACGCTGTCTCAAAAAAAAAAAAACATGAAAAATGAATTTATACTAATACAACCAAGGGGCAAAGCCCAATCTTCCACCCCTTGGTGTAGAGTGAACTCAACTAGTCAAGTTATCAATGGTAAATTAATATATCTGGTCTGTGAAAATTAGGTCAGCTTATGGAGGTTGTCAATGTAGGGAGATGGATAACTATGGAGGTTCTACTATATTTTCTTAGTGAGAATTATGGACTGAGACACTTCTTTGAATTTTGTTTTCCTTCTTTTTTCTAGTTCCACAACATATTATTGATTTTAGATCTTTTTTCTTTTTAATGTACCTTTTACAGTTATAAATTTCCCTCCGAATACTGTTGTCACTGTTTCCCATAATTTCTGGTATGTTGTATGTTCATTTTCATTAGTCACTAAGTATTTTCTAATGTCCACTGTGATTTCTTCTTTGGCCATTGGTTAATAGCGTATTGTTTAATTTTGTGTTATGTTTCAATTTTCTAGTTTTCCTTCTAATATTAACTTCATTCTATTGTTTGAGTTCTCAAGATCAGAAACTAAAATGTGAAAGATATCAACAATCAATAGAATTTAGATGGAGAAGGAACCCCACAAATTATGTTATTATTCTAATTATTCTACAGTCACCCAGAGAGCCCTTGTCGGGGTCCCTTCATGGTCACCACTTACGGGACTAGCCAGGTCTCCGGCCCCCTGCTTATCTAGGTTCTAGACAAGGACTGCTATGCTGTCACCTGGCTCAGAAACAATTTCTCTTAGCTGCCTGAGGGCTATCTACTTTACTAGAAGGGAGAGAGAGAGAAAAAGTCTTTGAGGGAGTAAAGCAGTCTTTGTGCCTTACCTTGCAAGTAAGATGTAGAACTCTCACCAAACATTATACATCATTTTTTTTCAAGTGTAATAGTTTCTAATGCAGCCTATCTCTGCTAAGTAAATAGAATCCAGAAATTGCCCATTTTGCTACCAGTGATGCCCAAATCTGCCTGCACAGTGGGGTCATATGAGGACAGTTTAAGATATATATGTATGCAGTTTTTGCAGGTTCATTACAAACCTACTGAATCAGAACCTGCGTGTGCTGTGTCCCAGGTGACCTAAGGTTCTAAGACTCTCCATCAGTGATTCTGATAAACTGCTTAAACTGAAAGTCCTTTCTGAGGACTGGGATATCTGCAAATGTATTCATCAAATTTCTTACAGTGTTCTTTCAAGTCTTTCTTTCCCTTGTCTCTTGAACATTAATATGTTATTTAAAGAAAGTCAACATTACCTCCTTCATGTTTACATGGATGGAGCTGGAGAATATTCTTCTTAGCAAAGTGTCTCAAGAATGGAAGAAAAAGTATCCAATGTACTCAACCTTATTATGAAACAATTTTAGCCCAAAAATATAGGGAGAGGGAGGGGAGAGAAGGGAGGGCAATTGATGGGATTACATCTATGGTTTATCCTATGGGGGTACATGTGAGTCTTTCTAAATGTAGAATATAAATGTCTTAACACAATAACTAAGAAAATGACATGAAGGCTATCTTAACCAGTTAGATGAAAGTGTTCCAAACTGCATATAGAAACAACACACTGTACGTCATGATAGTATTAATGTACACAGCTATGATTTAATAAAAAATAATAAATAATAAAGTCAACACAGTAGCTAGTCAAAGTAAAGTTACCATAACCAATAAAATACTTCACTCCCTATCCCTTGAAAATTTCACCTAAAAAATCCAATAACTGAAAAAGAATGTCATATGTAGCTTTTTAATCTATTGAATTTTTTATTTCAAATTAACATGAAGGTACAAATGTTTACGTTACACTGCTTTCAGTTCTAAGGTAAAGTTCAAGTTGTAGTGGAGCTGTTCACTCAGGGGGTGTGCTGAACACCCTCACATTGTGCACATTAGGTGAGATCCTGCCAATTGCTCTCCCTCCTCCTCATTCCTCCTCCCTCCCGCTTGCTAGACTATATTTGTGTTTTATCTTTCATATGGGTATGTAGTTGTTTATACATTGGTTTCATGTTAGTACTGAATACACTGGATATCCTTGTTCCATTCTTGAGATGTCTTACTAAGAAGAATGTGTTTCAACTCCATCCAATAGATGAGCTTGAACTTCACTCATTTTTCTGGCTTCAAAATTCCATCCTTGTTACTTTCTTACCTTGAACTCTATAAATCATTATTGTTTTAAGAAAGTGTTACAATAAAACTGTATTATGTCAAAGGAATTTGCTTTCTCCCTGGAAAATGTGTTTGTGTGTTGCTTTGAGGCAGATCATCTTGCCTGCAGATCATATTCCTAGTGTTTTGAAATCAGTGACTCCAATTCTTCAGTTGTGTTTCCTAAACTCCACTTCCAAACTTAGTTTCTCTTTCCCAGTAAAGTATCCAGTCATTTGTTAGAAGCAATTTATAATGAATAAAATCTAGAACTAGAGGTTTGTTGCCAACATTTTAAAATGTAATCATCAAGCTTTGTGCAGTGGCAGTTTCGTACCCAATGAGGTTTATCCAAGGCGTGATTATTGCTAATTAAAATGTAATTGTCATGATTGTTGGAGAGGCAAAAACATGGAAAATTTTTAAATGTTTTGTACAAGCTGGGCATGGTGGCTCACACCTGTAATCCTAACACTCTAGTGACAATGAGGTGAGTGGATTTCTTGAGCTCAGGAGTTTGAGACCAGCCTGAGCAAGAGCAAGCCCCCATCTCCACTAAAAATAGAAAAACTAGCCAGGCACTGTGACAGGTCCCTGTAGTCCCAGCTACTTGGGAGGCTGAGGCAAGAGGATAGCCTGAGTCCAAGAGTTTGAGGTTGCTGTGAGCTACGATGACGCTATGGCATTCTACCCAGGGCAACAGAGTGAGACTATCTCAATAAATAAATAAATAAAATGTTTTGTATATATTCCCATTTCTGTTGGTCTCACAAGGAAACAATCATAGGTTGGGGCATTCAAATGTAATGTATTTCCTTGTTTTCTTTTCCAAGTTACTAGCGATTTCCACAGAACCCTCTCCACCAGTAGAAAGGAATCCTGAAAATTATTTTAAAGACTTTTCATAGTCTTTATGAACCATAGCACACATTGAACTAGCTTTGAAATACGGCAACTATTTGGTATTGTGTTGACGGCTATATGGAGTTCGGCATCAGTAAAACTTAACTAGATATGTTGTTATATTCCTTTTTTTTTGAGACAGAGCCTCAAGCTATCACCCTGGGTAGAGTGCCGTGGCATCATAGCTCACAGCAACCTCCAACTCCTGGGCTCAAGCGAGTCTCCTGCCTCAGCCTCCCAAGTAGCTGGGACTAAAGGCACCTGCCACAACACCTGGCCATTTTTTGGTTGCAGCCATCATTGTTGTTTGGTGGGCCTGGGCTGGGGATTCGAACCCGCCACCTTAGGTGTATGTGGCTGGCACCTTAGCCACTTGAGCCACAGGTGCTGAGCCATGTTGTTATATTCCATTCACATTATTCTGAAGATAAGAGTGGGCACAACCACCTGCAGTGTTTTAGTAATTCTTTGTGGTTCTGAAATGCTCATCAGGGAATTAGTGCTTGACTAGTTGCATGAGAATTACCTCAGAGTTTAGAGTTTTTCTAAGTAGATTCTCAACTTTTCTTTTTCTTTTTTTTTTTTTTAGAGACAGAGTCTCATTTTGTTGCCCTCACCCTTAGTAGAGTGCTGTGCTGTCACTCACAGCAATCTCCAGCTCTTGGTCTTAGGCGATTCTCTTGCCTCAGCCTCCCGAGTAGCTGGGACTATAGGCAACCACCACAACACCCGGCTATTTTTTTGTTGCAGGTTGGCTGGGGCCGGGGTCGAACCTGCCACCCTCTGTATATGGGGCTAGCACCCTATTCACTGAGCCACGGGCGCCGCCTCTAGATTCTCAACTTTTCCATTCCTCTTTTTTTTTTTTTTTTTTTTCAGTTGGTTTGGGATAGATAGTACTTGAGAATTAAAGATCTTCAACAGATAAGTGTGAAAATTATGGCTCCAGGGGTTTCTTAATAGGTGTACAAGGCAAGAATACTATGAACTGATGGACTTTCAGTCGAGACACTACCACCAAAAATTCCATGATTTTTCCCTCCAAATTTATAGGTTTAACTGTGCTCAAAACAAAATGTGGACTGCAATCTTTGGAGTGGTTTCTGCTTTCTTGGCAGTGGTGAGTGGCTTTGGCCTGCTGTTGCACATGGGGGTGCCATTTGTGATCATAGTTGCAAATTCACCATTTCTTATTCTAGGTAAGTAAAACAAAACCTAAATCTACATGTCATGCTTAAGGGAATGTGGGGTAAATAAAAGAAAGAATTATATTTAGGTGACTCTACAGAACCCAAATGGGGTGACTAAAAATTGGAAAATTATGTTTAATTGTGTATCTTTAGAGGTTGAAAACTCTAGTACCCCGTATTGAAAGACAGTGGATGTGAATAGCAGTTCACACAAAAAACAAAGTACAAGTCACTGAAAATGTGGTCATATATCAAGGGCTCTGAGAAATGCATAATTGGGCAATTTTGTCTTTGTGCAAACATTGTAGAATGTTCTTACACAAACCTAGATGTTATAGCCGACCATACATCTGGGCTATATGGGCTAGCCTGTTGCTCCCAGGCTATAAACTGGTACGGCATGTGCTCTAAGTGAGTGAATAGTGTGTGAATGTTAAGGCCTAGGAAATTAATGTATATTACTATAGACTTTATAATAAACACTATATACTTAGGCTACACTAAATTTATTTAATATCTTCCTTTCTTCAACAATAAATTAACCTTAGCATACTATAATGTTTTTACTTGATGAACTTTTTTTTTTTTTTCTGCAGTTTTTAGCCGGGGCTGGGTTTGATCTTGCCAACCTCTGGCATATGGGGCCCGCGCTCTACTCCTTTGAGCCACAAGCGCCAGCCTAAACTTTTTGACTCTTAGTTTAAAACACTTAGTTTAAAACACAAATACACTGGACAACTGTTCAAAAATACTTTCTTTATATCCTTGTGCTACAAGCTTTTCTCTACTTTTAATGGGTTTTTTTTAAAAAATAACTTTTTAAACTTTTTGTTAAAAACTGAGTCACAAACACACACATTAGCCTAGGCCTGCCCAGGGTCAAGATCACAAGAGTAATGAGTTGTGCTATGATGTTATAAGGGCTGTGACATCCATAGGTGATAGAAATTTTTCAGCTCCATCATATGGAACTACCAAAATATAGGTAGTCTATTATGGACCAGAACATGCTTATATGGTACATAACAATGTAAGAAAAAAAAGCTGACCTTCCAATTAATCAAGAGGTGTAAATTAAGTAAGAAGTGAGACATCTTTCTTAAGACTAGCAAGATTGAACATTTTTGGAAGGTTACATGCAAATGAATACTCATGGTCTGTTGTGGGAACATGTGAATTAATTAGTGCACACTTCTTTTTGCCCAAGTTTGCAAAAAATCAAGACTTAAAACTTTGTCCTAATAATTGGACAAGTACTCAAAAGTTGAATAAGTATGTTCATTTCAGTGTGATTTAGAATAGGAAAATATTGTCAACAACCTAATCCTACATCAATATGGGACTGGTCTAATCAAATAGAGCATATTAAAAGATGAGAATTATGTTAAAACTTTTAAAAGAGGTAGATATTCAATGTTATATGAGAATTTCTGGTTATAAAACAAGAATGTTTGAAATAGATTGTTATATGTGTATATTTGTTAGAACAAATTCTGGATGGATATACATCAAAATGTCACTGAGGATTATCCCTAAAAGGTAGAATCAGAGTTGTTTTCAATTGTTCTATTTTCAGTAATTTCAGATGTATCTTATAAATAAGCCTCAGAAAACAAAGGTGTTTGTATTTTAGAAAGTGAACACCTTGGAAGAAATAACATTTGGTTTTCTTGAGGAGATAGCATGTGAGTTGTGTGCTGGATATCAGTTTATTTATTCTAGCTTTTCGGGCATACCTCCTTCATTCACACTCACATGTAATCATTCAGTGACCCACAGCCACAAAAACTACAGTTAAAGTATACATAACTGATTTAATAAAACCTTTTTTGTATACCTTATGTATATGCAGGAGTATGGGTGTGTGCGTGTACGTCCATGCATATGTACAGTGTATGTATGTGTATATGTGATTTCAGCAACTTTAAGCAAGGAATGTGTGAAGACAATTTCTGAACAAAGTTCTATAAATATTAACATTAGTTTTTAAATACCCAAAAAATGTTGATGAGCTTATTCTTGGTCTCTTAGTACTTCTGATTCTGCCCTTTTGTCCAGCTGAACGTAAGTGGGATGCTCAGAGCTGGCAGCAATGGGGTGCCACAGTGCAGTTTTTGACAGGCTATCTAGATTTGTACTGATTGGGATCTTTCTACCTTGATCAGACCCACAAAACATGTGAACTAGAGGCAAGGTTGCAATTTCTAGTATTTGGCCAACTTGAGCATGTAATCTGTGGAGAAGAAATTGAAATTAAGATCAACATTTCAGTTCTAAGAACTGATTTCATATCAATATATGTAGAAACACAGGTGTAGATGGATGGAAGTAGTGTCAACTCTAGTACAAAGCTGGGAGGTGAAATTCATCAGCAACATGCTCATGCTACCCTTTCTAGTCTCCTTTTTTGTAACCCTCCTTTCCCACTCTACAATGACTTGAAAGTCCTCAAATGTTCTCTATTCCACACCAATCTGAAATGTCAGTAAGCAAAGAATTAATTACCTAGTAGGTACTGATATGTAAAGAACTCTTAAGATTTACTTTGGTACATATTTCTGATATTAGGAGTACTTGAATTGTAATGAAATAATGCCTTAACTTGGGCAAGTGAAGTTTCAATAATAGCATTCTAGGTATCAAAAACAGACTAGTAGAAAAATTTTTAGTAGAAAAACCACATTTGTGCATGCACCTGTGTGTATGTCTAAAAATATGTGTGCCTCTCCAATCATACCACATGGCCAGATGCTAAATGCAGAATACATAAATCCAGCTTATATTGTTACATGACAGAATGCTGGCTGGATGTGTGTGGACATTAGCATTAAATACCTTAGGAGAGAAAATGATCTCTCAAACAATCTAATGGAACAAAAGATACATTGCTAATGTTGCTTCAACTAATACCCAACTGGCCAGGTTCCCTGATCTCCTCATTAAAACACGGTCTAAGTCAGTGGTTCTCAACCTATGGGTCGCAACCCCTTTGGGGGTCGAATGACCCTTTCACAGGGGTCACCTATCAGATATTTACATTACGATTCAGAATAGTAGCAAACTTACAGTTATGAAGTAGCAGTGAAAATAATTTTATGGTTGGGGGTCACCACAACATGAGGAACTGTATTAAAAGGTCGCAGCATTAAGAAGGTTGAGAACCACTGGTTTAAGTGAAGACTAGGAGTATATTGTGCTACGTGCAAATAATAAGAATATATATATACAAAGCAAAAACTTATTATAGAGGAAGGAGTGATGACTTCTGTTGTGAATTCAGAGCCAACCAGAGAGCATCATGGAGAAGGTAGTATCTAAGCAGAGATTGGGCAAAATAAATAAGACCTTAATAGAAAAAAAAAATGGTTTGAATCAACTGTGTAATTGTTAATGGATATTAATGAGTAATGAAGAGTCTGTTTCTTTTTCACAGGTGTTGGAGTCGATGACATGTTTATCATGATTTCTGCCTGGCAGAAGACCAACCTCACGGAAAACATACGAGAGCGTATGTCCAATGTCTTCTCAAGGGTGGCAGTGTCCATTACAATCACCACACTCACCAACGTCCTGGCCTTCTATACAGGGATAATGAGCTCTTTCAGGTCCGTACAATACTTCTGCATCTATACAGGAACGACCCTATTATTTTGTTATTTCTATAACATCACCTGTTTTGGAGCATTTATGGCCCTGGATGGTATAAGAGAAGAAGTCTGCCTACGCTGGTTGAAAAAGTCAGAGACTCTTGACCAAAAATATTCCTTATTTAAAAAGTTCTGTTTCCCATTTGGTTCTTTTGTAGATGAAGACGGAACTGAAATCCATCCAATGAATTTGTTCTTTAGAGACTATTTTGGCCCTTTTCTCACAACCACTGAGTCCAAGTTTTTTGTAGTGCTGATATACATTTTGTACATCTCAAGTAGTATATATGGGTGTTTCCAAGTGCAGGAAGGTTTAGACCTTCGAAATCTGGCAAGTGATGATTCCTACATCACACCGTATTTTAATGTAGAGGAACAATATTTTTCAGAGTATGGTCCCAGGGTTATGGTTGTTGTTACTAAAAGTATTAACTACTGGGATAAACATGTTAGGCAAAAATTGGAAACATGCATGACAGATTTTGAGAGCAATGACTATGTAGATAGAGATCTTACAGAGTTTTGGTTAAACGCATATGTGCCATACTTAGAAGGTAACGGACAAGATCCTAATGATAAAAATGCTTTTATAAATGGTATTTCTGGTTTTTTAACAGCTTTTCCAGGTTTTACATATGATATTAATATTTCACCATCAAATGAAATCACTTCTTCCCGGGGCTTCATTCAGACTACGCATGTTTCTTCCTCAAACAATAAGAAGATAATGTTAGCCCAAATACGAGGCATAGCTGAAAAGTGTGAAGTTCCCCTAATAGTGTATAACCACGCATTCATATATTTTGATCAGTATGCTGCAATATTAGAAAACACTGTTCGAAATGTCATGGTTGCATCAACAGCTATGTTCATTGTTTCCTTATTGTTAATTCCTCATCCAATGTGTTCCTTGTGGGTAACTTTTGCTATTGCTTCTGTGATTGTAGGAGTAACAGGTTACATGGCATTCTGGAATGTCAATCTTGATTCCATATCCATGATTAATCTTGTCATTTGTATAGGGTTTTCTTTTGATTTTTCTGCACATATTTCTTATGCATTTGTTTCCAGTACCCAGCCCACGGCAAATGAAAAATCAATTGAGGCATTGTACCTGCTAGGCTACCCAGTGTTACAAAGTGCAGTTTCAACAATAATAGGGGTATGTGTTTTATCCGCAGCTAAAGCATACATCTTCAGGACATTTTTTAAGATTATGTTTCTCGTTATGGTATTTGGGGCTGCTCATGGCCTAATTTTTATTCCGGTATTCTTAACCCTTTTTTGAAGGTTTGTTGAATATACACAACAAATCAAAGATCAATTATAGAATTTCTGATTGCCCCAATCTAATATGATAAAAAAAATGCACATTAAGAATAGTCAATAAACTTAAAACAAAGGCATGACTTGGAAATCCCATTTTAAAATGTTATTCAAAATATCCTGAGAAAAATTAATTAGTCTTATATTAAAATATCTTTACTAAATTAGGAAGTGTCGTCATCTTTATTATAGTCTCTACAATCAAGTATAAAGTATACTCCAGTTATTTTTTACCCTTTAGTTCATTAGAAGTTTATGCCTGAGACTTAACTATTTTATATATTATTGATACTACAAATGGAATATTATTTTCTGTACTTCCTACATGCATTATTATGTGAAAATGCAACTTATTTATTCTCCCAGTCAGAGGCCTTCTATGCATTTTCTTAATAGTATATTTTGACAAACAGATGGTTTTAAAGTTTATAAATCTAGTCTCTCACTTTTTCTTTGTTTGTTTATGCTATGTTCTTTGAAGTATTTTGACTACTCCAATGTTTAAAAAAAAACCCATCTGTTTTCTTCTCAAAGCTAATAGTTTTAATTTTACATTTAGGTCTATGACCCACAGACCTATATTTGTTAGGAGGTATGGATAAAGGTTTATTTCCTTCCCGTAATAGCTACCCCACTGTCCCAAGCATCATTTGTGAAAAAGACTATACTTCAGCATAGAATTAATTTGGCACCTATGACAAAAATCAGTTGACAATTTATGATTGGCTGTATTTCTGTGCCATTGATCTCAGTCTACATTAAAGGCAATACCACACGGCCTTGATTACAACTGAAGCTTTTTATTAATTCTGGAAATCAGGTTGTATGAATTGTCTACCATTTTTCTTCTTTTCCAAATTATTTTGGATATCGTAAGTTCTTTGCATTTACATCTTCATTTTACAATCACTTGTCAATTTCTCAAAAATGCCTTCAGTGGTTTTTTGGGTTATGATGAATCTATAGATTAGTTTGGGGAACATCAAATCGTAGCAATTTTAGATCTTCCTGTCCATGACCATGATTTATCTCTCTATTTATGGAGGTCTCCTTTAATTTCTCTCAGGAATATCTTGTGGTTTTTCGGTAGATTCATTTACTCCCGAGTGTTTTAATTTTTAGGACATTGCAGTAATATTAGTTTTAAATTCCTTTTCATTTTTTTTTACTAATATATAAAAATACAATTAATTTTGGTATATATTACATTATGTAACTTATGTTCATTTACTGGTTCTCATATTTCTGTATAGTTTCTTTAGTACTTTTTATCTACATAATTATGTAATAGCTTATAAAGACCATTTTATTTTTCTTTACAATCACTATTTCTCAATTTTCTCCTACTTGCCTTAATACACTGGCTAAATCATTCAATAAAATATTGAATTTTAAAAAGTTGAGAGCAAACATCATTGCCTTGTTCCCAATTTTATAGGGAACACATTCACTGTTTCGACATTAAGTATGATGATTATCAGAAAGTTTTTCAGAGAGGTCTTCTATCAGATTAAGGAAGCTCCTTTCTACTCCCAATTCGCTTATGTTATGTAACAAATGGTCACTGAATTATGTCAAATATTTTCATCCATCTATTAAGATTGCCATATCATTTTTCCTCTTAATGTGTTAATCTGGCAATTTATTTTAAGTTATTTCTTTTACTATTACACCAACCTTGGATTCCTGGGATGTCACACATTTGGTCATGGTATATTATTATTTTTATATATTGTTGTCTGTGACTTGTTAATATTTTTGTCAATGATACCTTTCCCATGATCATGGGGGTTACTGGTTTGCAATTCCCTTTTCTTATAATGTCTTTTCAAGTTTTCTTCTTCTATTTTCTGAAATAGATGATGTATGGTTGATAATACTTCATTTTTTTTTTCCTGGTATGTTTAGTAGAATTCACCAGTAAAATCATCTGGGCCCAGAGTTTTTCTGAAAAGGTTATACACAGAGAGAGACAGACAGACAGACAGAGACAGAAACAGAATCTCACTCTGTTGCCCAAGTTAGAGTGCCATGGTACCAGCCTAGCTCACAGCAACCTCAAACTTCTGCTTCAGCCTCCTGAGTAGCAGAAGTTACAGACACCTGCCATGACACCCAGCTAATCTTCCTATTTCTAGTAGAGATATAGGGTCTGCTTGCTCAGGCTGGTCTTTAACTCCTGGGGATCGTCTTGCCCTGGCCTCCCAGAGTGTTCGGGGTACAGGCATGAACCACCATGCCCAGCCAGGTTATTATAGATATATTTCTCTTTTCAACAGTTTTGGTATGTTTTGTCTTATAAGGAATTACCCATGTCATCTAGGTGGTCAATTGATTATTTATAATTTCCACACTACCATTTACTATCTGTAGTGATGTTCCTATAGCTTTTTTTAATATATATTTTGGAAATAGGGTCTCATTCTTTTGACCCTGCTGGAGTGCAATGGCAACATCATAGCTCACAGCAACCTCAAAACTCCTGGGCTCAAGCAAGCCTCCTGCCTCAGCCTCCTGAGTAGCTTGGGACTATAAGCATGCACCACCACAGCTGGCCAGTTTTTCTATTTTTTGTAAAAGGAGATAAGGTCTTGCTCTCACTCAAGCTGGTCTTGAACTCCCGGACTCAATCGTTCCACCTCAACCTCCCAAAGTGTTAGGATTATACTGCACCTTGCCCCTACAGAATTCTTGATATTAATAATTTATATCTTTTATTTTCTTCCCAAATTGTATAAATTTTATTTAATTTTTTCAAAGAGACATCTTTTGACTTTTTCTGGTTTTCTCTATTATTTCTCTTCACTAATTTATTGATATTTGCTCTTTATTTATTTCTTATTGTTTGCTATCTACTTTGGGTTTAGTTTTCTCTTTCTCTAGCTGTTTACAGCAGTAGCTTTTAAATCATTGATTTTAAATCCTTATTCTCTTCTAGGGAAGCATTTAATGCTATAAATTTCCTTCTATACATGGAAGTGCAACCACAAATATTTATTTACAGATGGCCCCTGGCTTATATTGGTTTAACTTACAATTTTTCAAGTCTACAATGGTGCTAAAGTGATACTCGTTCAATCAAAACTGTACTTTGCATTTTGATCTTTCCCCCAAGCTAGTGGCATGTGCTACAATATTCTCTCATGATAGTTTGCAGTGGCAGCAAGCCACAGCTCCTAGTCAGCCATGGAGTCACAAGAGTAAACAATCCATACTGTATTCTACAGTACATTTTATTCCATACGTTACATGAGGTACTTTCATTTTTAAATAGGCTTTGTGGTGGATGATTTTTTTTTTTTTTAACTGTAGGCTAATATAAATGTTCTAAGCACATTTAAGGCAGGCTGAGCCAAGCTATGATGCTCAGTAAGTTAGGTATATTAAATCCATTTTGAGTTGGAATCTTTTCACCTTTGAATGAGGTTATCACTGGGGATATAACCCCCATTGTAATGCAATAAGCATCTGTATGGGTTTTCATTATCATTCATTTTGAAACAAATTTCTCTTATCATTTCTTCTTTGACCCACAGATCAAACAATGCATTTAATTTATTTTCTCTTTTTCTTTTTTTTTCTTTTTAAACAGAGTCTCACTTTGTCACTCTTGGTAGAGTGTGTAACAGCTCACAGCAACCTCAGACTCTTGGGCTTAAGCGATTCTCTTGCCTCAGCCTTCCAAGTAGCTGGGACTACAGGTGCCCGCCACAATGCCTGGCTATTTTTTGGTTTTAGTTGTCATTGTTGTTAGGCAGGCCTGGGCTGGATTCAAACCTGCCAGCTCCACTGTATGTGTGGTTGGCGCCCTAGCCGCTGAGCTACAGGCACCAAGCCTATTTTCTCATTTTTAAATAACACTCTAACTGGATACAGAATCCAGGGTGAGAAGGTTTTGTTCTTTCAACACTTTAAAGATGTCATTGCACTGTCGGCTTGATGCAATGCTTTCATTAGAACCAGTCTCATTCTTATACTGTTCCTCTTAAATGCCTTTTTTTCTACAGCTGCTTTTAAGATTTTCACTTTATTATTGGTTTTAAGCAATTTGACTATGATTTTTTTTCTAGTTAACCTTCCTTACTATCTTTAAACTGTAGAATCTGTGACTTGATAATTTTCATCACATTTGGAAATATTTCAGCCTTTATTTCTTTGAATGTTGTTCTGCCACATTCTCTCCTCTCCTTCTGGAACTCCATTACAAATATGTTCTTGTTATTTTTAGTTGGCTCATAAAATTGTAATATTCTACAAGATTGCATTATAAATTTGCAATCTTGCAAATTGCATTATAAAATTGCATTAATAAATTTGAATAGTTGACACTTTCTATTGAAATACCCTTTGCTGTCACCCATGTTTTATTGAAAAAATATTCTTTGTATACATAGTAAGATTC